AAAAAACATATGAATTGCTAATCTAAGGGCAATATGCATAAAATCTTAATAGATTAATTTGAATTATCAAAAGCTTCCTAAGTGCATGATCAAATGAGAGATCCTAATTTGTGTTATACTCATACTTTTATTGTTTTGGAAAATGTAACAAGAGGCCAAGTATTGTGGTATTCATCATTTTATTTAAAAGATCTTAGTAAATTCCTTCTTGAGGAAGGGAATAGAATATACCAGTTTTGTTCTCAGCACAGTCAAGGCTATGAGAACCCAAGGTTCCTTGTACAGAGAGGCTCTTATTGTCAAACTTTAGACCATAGGTGTACCCCAGTTCCAGGATTAAGTATTAGTTGGTTAGACCCTTGGAGAACAGAAGACACAATGGAAAAGAAGTAATAAGGACTGATTCACCTGGCATTGAACTTGGTGTCTTGGGGACCTGAGAATCAGCAAGGAAAATTGCTTTGTGCAGAGTAATATCCCACAGGGAACTTACCTGCTCAGACCTGGGATAAAAAGAGGGCAATGTGCTTAATTAGCAGATATACAGAACTTTCAACATTTCCCTGCTTTAGCCCATTGGTGTGTGCATTCTTGGTCTGGGTGGGTTGTGATCACTTACTTTGGATTCCTGCTTCTGACTGGGAGAATAACACTTGACCCCTTTGTACTTTCTTTGAGGCAACATAGCTTCCATGTACACTGTAAACTGTTCAGGGAGGAATTTGGATTCCCATGAACTCCTTTCATTGACTAAACCCATCTGTGTGAGTACTGCGGTACTGCAGGAAGTTTTTTTGAGCCTGAGATTGAAGAATTTATATCTGTGGAACCCAAGACCTACACAGCCCAGGCCAGATTTGAGCTACTACTGTGTTTGTTTGACTAATCTGTTGATATGTTTATGCAACATGCAGAAAGTAGAAGGAACCACTGAGCTTAGTAATATAAGGTGCAATGTAGACAGTTAAGCAACTAAAATAGAATCTCAGAATACAGATTGAGTACCTTAAAGAGATTTCATTACTATTGGAACATATGTCAAAGATTTGTTCTATTAATGAATTGGAATATAGAAATAAATGGTTGCCTCTGGAGCATTGTTGAATGAACTGAGGCCATTTCTTTTTTTTTCCAGCTTTAATTGAGTTTATTGGTACATTTTAGGGATACAGTACAGCTACAATCATTGTTGGGATCTTGTACCTCTACATGACAGGTCTTGGTTCTCATTTTTTCCCCTTGTTCCTGCCCTCCCTTCACCCCCTCCTCCCCTCTCCATCTACAAACACTTTATTTCCATCTTTTCATTATCTCACATTTTTTTCTTTCCCTTTTTACCCTTCCCCTACCAATCCCACCTTCCCTACACCTTTAGCTCCTTCCCATTTCTCAATGTCAGTAATCTTATTAGGATTTACTGTATTATTGCAGATTATTCACACCAGAGAAACTATTCGGTATTTACACATGTGTGCCTTATTTATTTCACTTAGGAGTATATCTTCAATATGTATCCATTTTCCTGTGAATGAATCTATTTTCTCCTTCTTTATAGGCCATTTCTTATGTCTGAGTAGGATATCATTTTGCTTTGCTTTTTAAATCTCATGCCCCTTTTCTGCATTTGTTAGCACTTTAATGGAATTTTTCAGTTTAGTATTTTTCTCTATCAATGTTAGAAAGATATTTTAGTTATAAAGTGATTAACATTTCATCACTAAATATGTCTATATTCTTAATTCTTAATTTCTTGCGTTATTCCAGATGATTTTGCATCCCCATGTAGTTCATGCAATTTTTTAATGTTTTTCTACAGTGTAACATTCACTTGCATACTTAGCTTTCTTAATAGCTCTGATTTCTCATGAGAAATGTAAACTATGGGATCAATTTAGTTTTCCCCCATACAAATAGCCATTTGTGCTAGCTTTTCTTTATTCAGGATTTCCCAACTAAGTTGAAGTACATCCTATTCATGTGTTAAATATCCATGTATGCAGAAGTTTGTGTCCTGACTCATTGAAGAAATAGTAACGAGGCATGTTCTAGAGCAGTGATGACTATGGCCAACTGTGACTTTTCAAACAGCCTGCTTAGGCCAGTGGGATATAGGGTCACTTCCACTGTTCTAGAGGATGGAAAAGTCAGGAAATATGCTTTCTCATACATATCTGCATGTAGACTTTGCTAGTGTAGATATTAGTCCATCCGGAGAACATCAGATTATTGATATCATATATTTTCTTTTACTTTATGTTTCCTGCTTCGTTTAGTTTTTAATAAATTTATGTTTATTCATTCTAACCATTTTTTTCTATTTTTCATTTTGATAATTTTATTCTGCATGATACAGAGATATTCACACACTCCCATGACAACAAAAAGATAAGTACAACAGGTGAAATCTCTGCTTATTTGCATTTTGCACCATTCATGCTAAGGCAGAACAGAGTAATAAATGTTTCGGGGGAAATGTAAAGGAAAAAGACACAGGCAGGATTTCATTAAGTGTAAAAGTTCAAAATTGTCATGGGACATGAAGGACTTTATGGAATATGATCCTATGCATGATGGTTGAAGATTACAACCAGATCTACAGCACCCAAGGGTAGGCCAAAAATTTCAAATTTGAATGCCTGGGAATAACATAGAAAACATTCCACATTCCACACCAAACAAGAATAGGAGAGAGAGAGAGAGAGAGAGAGAGAGAGAGAGAGAGAGGGAGAGAGAGAGAGAGAATAATTTTTCATCTGCTCTTGAAACATACAAAAAACAATTTTTTAATCTTTCTTAATGTTTCTGGTTTCATACCCAGAAAGACAAAAGCCAATTTTGTTCTTCAGTAAGTGGGAACCAGAAGTGTTGGATCAGTGGGCAAGGTTGGTCGGTTGGTGCAGTTTCAGTAGGTGGGAAGCATGAGTGTGGATGAGGTCTTTCACAGTAATGTGACTATGGTTAACAATTATATACTGAAAGTTTAGAACAGCTGCAAGAGCTGATATTGATAGGTCTCATTGAATCAGAAACATCTGAGGTAGTGGACGTGCTACCTCTTCTGATTTAACAATTGCTCAGTGCACAGAACTATGAAGACATCATATGTGCCCTATAAATATGTACAAATATTACCTGTGAATAAAAATTTAGAAATCTCAATTACTCAAATTTATATTGAAAGGTGCAGGAAAAAATTTCAAAAGTTAAATATAAAAATATGCAAACTGTGTTCTTCGAAGATTTCCTTTTTTAAAATTTGGTTTCTTCTTAGCATTATGTATCCCCCCCCATTTCAATATTACATCCATCCACAAATGTCTTGTTAGTAAAAAACACATTATCACTTTTGTCATTTGAAAAACTTGTTTTTATTCTTGTGTTTCCTATTCCTATTCCTACAAAGCATAAAATTGGATTTGAGAAGTTAGTAGAATTTAGCCAAAAACAAAGAAGAATTGAAATTTTTCCAATCTTTTCCTTCACATCCATTCAGTTTATCTTTCTTGGTGTGCTTATTGACAGATATTTTATATTTCTTTTACTATAGGGTAGAAAATGGCAATATCAAAATGAAAATCACAAGTTACATGTGTATGAGAGATTACAGACTTTGAAGAAAATATTTCTACACTGAATCCCCTGCAATTATTTCTTTAAACAGTCTAACTTCTGGTTGGAAGAACATATTGTTAACCTGACCTAAGGACACCGTGAGCTATGGCACATTGTTAAGTGTGTGTGTGTGTGTGTGTGTGTGTGTGTGTGTGTGTGTCTTTGCCTTTGGAGGTGAAAGCAGACTTTACAGAAAATGACTTTGTTTCAATATGTTCCATAATATAAGTCACAAGAGAAAGGCCAGAACAACAACAACCAAAACACAGTAAAGAGGAGAAGCCCAAAGTCTCTTTAAAAAAAAAAAAACTAGTATTTTTTATTGTTTTTAATTTTTTTACTGAGTTTATTGGTACATTCTAGGTAGACAGTACAGTTACACTCAGTACTGGCATCTTGTTCCTTTACATGCCAGGTCTTGGTTCTCATTTTTCCCCTTGTCCCCACCCTCCCTTCACGCCCTCATCCCCTCCCCACCTTAAAACACTTTAATTCCATTTTTACATTTTTTCATATTTTTTCCTTTTCCCTTATTCCCCTTTCCCTATTCTTCTCACTGTCCCTACAACTTTGGTCCTTTTCTTCCTATTTCACTTTGCTAATTGGTTCTCATTTTTTCCCCTTGTCCCTACCCTCCTTTCACCCCTTCTTCCCCTCCCCATTTACAGACACTTTAATTCCATTTTTTCATTTTTTCACATTTTTTTCTTTTTCCTTATTCCCCTTCCCCTACCCTTCCCACTTTCCCTACACCAAAGTGTCTTTTAAAAAGTCTTGTACTTGCTTATCTTACCTGGACATATAGCACTCAAATGTAGATCATGTGGAATCTTCCTATTAAACCTGATTTTGGGGAGAACGAGGATTTAGCTCAGTTATGTGTGCCTGCTTTGCAAGCAGCTTGATCCTCTTTGTCCCCACCAAAAATCCAAACAAACAACCAAACAAAAAACTGATTGTTTTTCTCCATCAGACAACATGGTGATATCTGTGATGGTGTGTGATTATTTCTTCCCTAATTTATCCTTGATTCAATTTAGACTGTATTGTTTCTCTCTCATTTAATTTCAAGGAGAGTCAATTACTTCAGTACTGTTCCATAATTGCCTAAACAATGATTTGAACTGACCATCAGTAATTTATATTTCTCAGATATATAAAGAAATTAAAATATTTGAATACATACCCTCTTGGGGAAGATTGAGTGACACAAAAATTACAGTTCAGCAATATCAAGGGAATCCATATAAAGGGGAAAATTTCATTAGGAAAACTGAAGAATTGGTGTCTTGACTGTGCAGTCTGAATGATGGCATTTCTGACAGGTTTTTATTCCATAACTGTGTCATGTTAATTTTTTTTCACCTTTTCTCTTAGCCCCACCAACTATATGGAAACAGAAAATGACACACAAATGTACAAAATCTTTCTTCTGGGAATTTCAGAGGAGTCCAGTTTACAACCCTTCCTCTTTGGACTATTCCTGTTTATGTACCTGGTCACTGTGCTTGGGAACTTGGTCATCATCCTGGTCACAGTCTCAGACCCCCACCTGCACACACCCATGTACTTCTTCCTCTCCAACCTGTCCCTTGCAGATATCGGCTTCACCTCTGCCAGCATCTCAAAGATGCTGGTGAACATTCAGATTCACAGCAAGGTCATCACTTATGAAGGCTGCATCACCCAGGTATTCTTCTTCATACTCTTTGGAGTGTTGGACAGCTTTCTTTTGACAGTGATGTCTTATGACCACTTTGTGGCCATCTGTCACCCTCTGTATTACATGGTCACCATGAACCTCAGGGTCTGTGTATTGCTGGTGCTGGGGTCCTGGGTCACAGCTGCCTTGTATTCCTTGTTAGAAAGCTTAATGACGTCAAGGCTGTCATTCTGCACTGACTTGGAAATCCAACATTTTTTATGTGAGATTAATCAATTGATTCTACTTACATGTTCTGATACCTTTGCTAATGATGTAGTGATGTATTCTGCAGCTGTGCTTCTGGGTTGTGGTTCCTTTTCTGGTATTCTTTTCTCTTATGCTAAGATAGTTTCCTCCATTTGTGCAATCTCATCAGCTCAGGGGAGGTGCAAAGCATTTTCCACCTGTACATCTCACCTCTCTGTTGTCTCCCTATTCTATTTTACCATCCTGGATGTTTACTTTAGTTCTTCTGTTAGCCAAAACTCACCATCTGCTGCAAGAGCTTCCGTGATGTACAGCATTGTCACACCCATGCTGAATCCCTTCATCTACAGTCTGAGGAATAAGGATATAGCGGGGGCTCTGAGAAGACTCTCCAGAGGGAAGTCATGAGTCAATTTACCAGAAGTTCCTTTTATCGTGGTACTCTAAAGCTCAGTGCCAGATATTGTTCCTCTTTAATATAATTAAATGTAGTTGTTTTCTCAGGAGATTTTCGTCTTGAATTTTAACTGGTGCATAGAAATAAAACAAACTCATTTATATGTTTTCTACTTTGCCTGATATCCAATATTTTACCTGTCTAGTTTTTTGTCAGTCTTCTTCCAAACTAAACATCAGAAACAATTTGGACATTCTTATTAGATCCATAGACTGATGTGTTCAAATAATTCTATAGAATAACAAAAATTGATGTCAGTGTATATTTTTATTTAAAAGAAATTCCACATCTTTTCAATGCTTTCTCCATTAATTCTTTTTTGTTATATTTAGTATTATTTATGATATTGCCTTCCAAATAGTGTTTCTATAGTTCATTGTGGGAAATTATTATTCCCCAGTAATATTATTATTATTCTGCACAACTTTTCACAATGCATTGTGTACTCCTTGTCAAAAGTTATTAAGAATATTCCTATGAAATGCATATTTGATGCGTCGCCAGCTAATACAAACATGTTTGCATAAAACTATTTATTATGGACTTAAAATCACAGAAAGTTCTTACACAAGTACATATTTGAATCCTACATTGTATTTCAGTCATACATCTGTGAAAATAAGTTAGATTATGTGCATCTGCTCCTTGAAATGCATCTTCTCTTGATACGCTTAGAAAGTTCACAAAGCAATACCAGTGTTATGACAGGGACTTCATTCAGTGGAGAGGAGAGTTTGGTGTTATCTTCTAATTATGCATTGTGTCACCTGGGTTAACATTTCCCAGTAATTTTTAATGTATAATTTCTTTCATTGCTTTGGACAAAATGTCTTCTTTTTAAATGTTTGTCATAAATATCAAAGTTCAGGTGAGTGAATAATATGTGTGAAAACTGTCATCTTCATGTTTTGATGTTCTAAAATCACTGTGATGAATATGAATAAAGAATAAATTCCACATAAACTTGAATCCAGAATAGTGTCCTTAGTAGGATAATAATCTCTCACAGTTAGCTATTGATGCTTCTTGAAATGAAGATTTGGGATATACAAACACCAGTTTTTCTTGAGTTAACATAATTACCATGTTCTATTCACCAAAGAAATTAAAAAAGTAAAAATAAAGAAAAGCCCTGTGCCAAGCCCTGGAGTTCTGCCACATTTTATAATTAAGTGTGAGCTTTTGAAACAGTGACTGAATTCAGACCACAGAAGGATGGACAAAGAATAGTGCCTGAGTTCAGAGGGTTTCTGGAGATGCACTAGGCAAAAGGCCTTTGGAAGGAAAACAGGAGAATGACCACATAATTTGCCCTGCTGTGAAGGAAGACAGAGTGGGAGGTCCCTGATGGAATTCGATAGAGTACTGGTGTTGGATAAAATCAGCCATATCTTTTCCTTCCCCATATTTATGGAGGTGGTCAAATCTCAGTACAGAGTTCTGCAGTTAGCTATGCCCAAACCATTGCAAGCAACCAGGAGATGTATCAAGGGAGCCACCGGCATCAGCCAGCCTCCTCACACCAGGCAGGCAATTTAGCAAATCATAGGAGTATGAGGAGAGCCAACTGAGAGGCCCAGAGCCAGACTCACACTGGAGCGCGAGCAGAACTGGGGACATGCTTCTGCTTTCAGCCCTGACAGCTGCAGCTGCATGGAGGCTTATTGTTTGCTTTCTTTGCATTGTTGTTGTTTCTTGTTTATTAATTTTACATGTTAGTATTTTTATTCTTTGACATTCCCCTCTCCCTACTCCATTTTCTTTTCTTTTTCCTTTTTTAATCCCCTTACATTCCTTCTATTCCAGTCTACCTGCCATGTGGCATATCTATCTATTATGTAATATATTTTAGCATACGTTATGTAATATATTATGTACTATATATCAAGTGTGTGTGTATGTATATATATATACATATAAATATATGTATAATATATCTATATACATAAAGACAGTGGAAGATCTTGAATCCAAGGATGATGTAGTAAATCATGTACTCAGCGGCACACCAAGACTTCAAGACACTGTGGAAGCTGGATCCAACAGCTGATACATGATTTTAAAAACCTTCAAATTATAGGAATAAATAAAAGAATGAGAAGAGTGCTGAAAAGAATAAACTGCATTCATCAAAATCATAACAAAATTTTCAAAATTTAGGGAAAAAATCACTATTCAATTAGAAGAGGCTTATAAACCCCAAATGCTAGCACTAGAAAAGCATAGCCCATGACACATTGAGGCAGGAGATTGGACTATGACAAACCAGCTGAGTGAACTGGCATGACAGATTCAGGAAATGTGCAGAAAAATAACTCCTAAAAACCTCACATCAGAGAATGTTATCTGCAATTTTTCTCATAAGAACTCAAGCAGGTGTTTGATAGAACAGCCTAGCCCTGATGTCAGCCTGAGAAGTGGGAGTTCAATGGCTGTTATTGAACTCAGAGCCACTGTTTTTTCTCTTTCACAGTGGTCTCTCATTCCGCACAGTGTACTTCTTTCCCTATTTTTAATTGGCCCACAGTCTTTCTGCAGAGCATATTTTTCTCTCCACCTTTGATAAATGTAAAACCTCATTCATTGCCTTTTGTGCATGGTTTGTCTAATTCTTTGCTTATGACAAGAATATATAAAAATGCTAGGAGTCCCTAGAACATGAGACCCTAGTAACACCAGCATGATGAAATTTTAGAAATTCAAGAAAAGGGAACACTAAAAGATGTAAAGAAAAACAAAGTAATATAGAAAGGTAAGCCTTTCAAATAATAACCGTTTTCTCATCCCAGATCTTAAAGTGAGGACATCTTGAATTGATTTTTTTAAGTCCTAGAATAAAACAATTTCCAACCTACATTTTTAAGTCATGCAAAATTATTTCTCAAAATTGACAGAAAATAGAAACTTTTTGTGACATAGAAACCCTAAAGAAATCAGTATATGAGCACTAAACCAGCACTGAAGGAATACATAAGCAGAATCATAAAAACAGGGGGGTAACATGCACCAAAGAATCTAAAGTAAATTATACATCTCACTGAGAGAGTTAACAGAGAAACAAAATCAGCACCAAAAAATAATGCAATGATGATTTAATAAATACTCTACTATGACTATAATTTCATTGACCCTAGCTCCCTAATCAAGATATCAATTGGAAGATTAAATCAAAAAGCAAAAATCCAAGCATATTTTGCAATGCAAGCACACAGACTATAAGTGAAAGGATGGAAAATTATACTGTATGCATCTTGAGTTTGAACAAAAGCACATGTAGCTATTTTATTCTATTTTTCCACATTTATATTAGCATATGTTTACTCTATATACTAAATATATTCATCAAGGAAAATTGATACATATACATGTTGTTTTGATCCTCAAGACTTCCCCTTCACTCCTTCCTCATGCCCAACAGACCTCAAGCCAGAACAAATCAAAATAGACAAAGCCACTACAGAATGGTAAAAGAAACTGTTCAATAAGATGATAACAACTGTAAATATACATATGCTGAATGTTGGCACACTCAACTTCACAAAACAAGGACTGCTGGCCATAAAAGGACAGAAAGACACCAATACAGTCATACCAGGGGACTTAAATATCCTATTCTCACAAACAGGTGAAGTACATAAAAAGTAAAGAAAAATAGTGGAGTTGAACCACACCATTGAACAGATGGCATTAATCATTATCTGTAGAATGTTTTATCCAACAACAATAGAATACATATTTTCTACAGCAGCACACAAAACTTTCCCTACCAGAGCAAATCACAGACCATAAATCCTGTTTAAATAAAAACAGAATTGCAAAAATGCCCTGCTTTCTATCAAATCACTGTGAAATGAAAGTAGAAAATAGAAAAAAAAAAAAAACCCCAGGAACTTCTCTGGCTTAACTGCTTGCAGAATGCCACTGTAGAAATAACTTACACTCTGTAATAATGTTGGAGAATCTTCTCTCTGTGTCTTTATTTATCTCCATCTATCAATCTATTTATCAGCCACACTGTGTAACTTGTGTGGCATCTTTTTCTCTGGAGAACAACACTATAAGCTGTGGCTCACATTAGCTGATAAAATGCGGCATTACAAGACATAAGAGGAAACTTTAAGAGGCATTGTCAGATTCCAACAGTTTTCTTGTCTTCTGTCTTCTTCTCTGTTAGGAGATGCCCCCTCCTCCAATAGAGGCTGTTTCTTGGGCCACATTCCCTCAAATAACACAACATAGTTGGGAGGGGGCCACACATCCTAAAGCCTATGTGAGTTAATGAAAGTAGTCTAATTTAAGGCACTGTTTATCACTACAGGAAAGTGAAAACATTTAACCTTTTATAATGTTAAAATATCTAACATTAACTGGGATCTTGTTGGATACTGTAAGACTCAAATTTGTCCTGTCTTTCATTCTCAGATGAATTGTATATAGAAGGTAAACACTAGATGGGAATGTAGTGACAAGAGGAATACACAGTGGTTGGATAATGTTTACCAAAGCACAGTTAGAAAGAAGAAAAGTTTCTCAAATTTCTACAGCACAGCAGGGCAAGAATACTTCATGATAACCTACCTCACATTTTATGAATATCAGGTAGAGAAGAGCTTAAGTGTTCCAAACACAAGGCAATGACAGCAAGAGGAAAATACTAATATCTTGATTTTTATCAGATGTATGTTTACATGTATATAAAACTGTACCTCATAAATATCATTGACTGTATTAATCAAAATATTAAAAATGTTGAGATAGAAATATTACTTACTCTGATTTGATGTGGTAAGCATGTACTCACCTATTATCATGTAGCCTATAAGTATGCACAATTAATATACATTAATCAAAATTCTAAAAAATTGAGGACATAGAAATGTTAACTCTATTTTTTTGTGTGTGTGTGCCAGGATTGAACTCCACACCTTGTACTCACAAGGCAGGCACTAGAACCACTGAGCTAAATCCCTGACCCAGAAATTTTAACTTCTGTGCTTTGATATTACACTTTGTATACACATGATAGATTACGCTGGATGTCAGAAATTTGTACTGCGAAAAATTAGTTAAAAAGATTGGGCTTGAGGTTTTATGTGATTTTTTTTTTTTTTTTTTTTTTTTTTTGGTAGCGGAGATCAAACTCGGCTCCTTGTGCTTGTGAGGTAGGTGGCGGAACCACTGAGCTAAATCCCTGGCTGGCCCCTATGTAAATTGTAAATGTTACCATGTTCCACTCTCTTTTGCTCTCCAGTGGTTTACTTAAAAACCCACGAGAATAATACTCAAAATAATTATACACACACACACACACACACACACACACACACACACATATATATATATATATATATATAAGTGAAAAATATGTTGACTGACATTAGTTTGATACACCCAGCCCACTAAACATGACAGCTTAGCAACTCAGTATGTTGTGAGAACCTGTTGTTTACCCTTTTGATCCTTCTGTCTGACTAGAACTGAAGCTGTAGCTATTTAGCATTTTAGTGTACATATTTCTAGCCCGTGAGATAAAACTCTCCAAATTCATAAAATTATTTCTATCAAATGTATATTATTTTCAAATCATGTTAAAATAAAGTGAATCAGTAGGCATGACTGTTACTTAAATTTGGAACTCAAGCAATCCCTGACTCCAAATTCTGATCTACAGAAGGGAAAGATAAACTTTAAAAGGGAAAAATGAGACTTTATCAAAATTGTGTTTGAACAAGCAAACACCTATGTATTTCAGTTAATAGTTGGGGACAATTTTGATAAGTGAAATAAAAGACACACACAAGCTTAAATAGTGCATAATTTCTCTTATATGAGTGACCCAATTTATAAATAGAAAGCAAAATGAATGATAGATAATAGGAAGTGTGGAGATAGATCTTCCTCAAATGGAAAAGAAGATAAAGGTTAAGGGAGGGGAAATGAAGGAGAAAGAAAGGGAATAAAAAAATTAGAATGTATTCATATACGTGTACCAACTTCTAAAAATGAGTGTAAACATTATGGACTGCAAATATGTAGCAATAAAAAAGTAAGTTGGGCAGTGCTGTAGTACTCATTTTCTAAGACAAAATGTTTTTGAGATAGCAAGTTCTTATCAACAGAAGGAAAGGGTAGTTTATAAAAAAAGTAAAATTGCACTTTTTCAAAATTGTATAGTTGAACATCAAAAAACTTCGTGATTAAATTAAGACATTCATTAGAAAAAAAAGCACACACAGACCCAAACACACATATAAAAATACAAAAAATCCTTCATAAATTGAAAAAATCCCAAACTATAAAAAATGAGCAACAGATCTATAGAACCATTCATAAAGGAATAGTTACAAATTGCTGATAAGTACAATAAGCAGAACATCTCAGTTCAATCCAGTCAGTGAAGCTTCACAGTAATAAGTACCATGAGCTCTATTCCCTACCCTTGATGGTGAGTTTTGGGTGTGTTTTTTTTTTTTTTTTTTTTTTTTTTTTTTTTTTTTTTTTGTCATTTTGAGTACATCAGACCACAGAGAAAAGTTTTCAAGGCCCTCTTCATTTCTCTGTTCCTCAGACTATAGATGAAGGGGTTCAGCATGGGGGTGATCACCGTGTACAAGACAGAGGCAGATGCCCCTGTCCAAGAGGCATGTGTCCATGTGGAGCTGAGATACACACCCAGGCATGTTCCATAGAACAGGCAGACAACTGAGAGGTGAGAACCACAGGTGGAAAATGCTTTGCACTTCCCTTCTTTTGTTGAGATCCGCAGGATGGAGACTACAATTTGAGAATAAGAGAAAAGTATCCCAGCAAGAGGAAAAAATCCCATGACGCCTGTCACAATGTACAACACAATACTGTTGATGAAGGTATCAGAGCAGGCGAGCTTGAGGAGCTCAGGGAGTTCACAGAAATAGTGTGGGATTTCCACGACAGCACAGAAAGAAAGGCGCAGGGCAGTCAGACACTCAGGAAGGGCTCCTAGCACACTGAGGAGCCAGGTCAGCAGCAGTAACTGGACACAGAACCTGGTGTTCATTAGGACAGGATAGTGCAGGGGGTGACAAATGGCCACAAAGCGGTCATAGGCCATGACAGTCAGGAGTAAATTGTCCAGAAGTCCAAAAACTGTGAAAAAGTACATATGAATGATGCAGCCTGCATAGGTGATGACCTTATTCTGTGTCTGAATAATCAGCAACATCTTTGGGACTGTGGTGGAGGTGAAACAGATGTCAGAGAAGGACAGGTTGGAGAGGAAGAAGTACATGGGTGTGTGGAGGTGGGAGTCAGAGATGATGGCCAGGATGATGAACAGGTTCTCCAAGACGTTCACCAGGTACAAAGACAAGAACATCCCAAACAGTACAGATTGAAACTCTGGCTTCTCAGAAAGTCCCAAGAGCACAAATACTGGAATTTCTGTGTGGTTTTCCAGTTCCAATAAAGGAAGTATCTTCAAGAGAGAGGAAGTAGCAAGACTAAGTGAAGAAGCCTATCAGAAATGTGATTGTTCTTCAGCTTGTTCGAAATATGTCTATGGAATAATGTATTTGCTTAATATCCTTCTCATTTCTGCCGATCAAACTAGGGCTTTCAAACCCCACCAGGCACAACATGTAATGTAGAACCCACAGCTGACTTAATCTACTCAACTGTCCTGACATCCTCATAGCCATCATTTGTCACCTAAGAAGTCTTCCAAATTATTTCAGTAACTTACATTGAAATGCTTTATTAGTGAAAAATGTAAAGTTCTGGATCTAAATAATAATTGTAAGTGATAAGAATGATATTGTTTATTCACTGATTAATTTTAATTAAAAATATAATTGATCAGGGCTGGGGATTTAGCTTAGTGTTTCTGCCACCTGCCTCACAAGCACAAGATCCTGAGTTCGATCAAGGTCCGAGTTTGATCCCTGGTACAAAAGAACCCCAGAACACACACACACACACACACACACACACACACACACACACTAGATCAAACATCAATGGAGAGATTGTATTACATTTTCTTCCAAGAAAATAAGATGCCAAACTAAAAACTTTCTAATCTCACTGATATATAGCTCATAAAAATTATTTAGCATCACATGAAAATAACTCTCAATTAATTTTCTTAATCTTAACCTTGATACTCAAAGGCAACAGCTTATTATAATAGAAGTGGCATGAGGCAAATCTCCTTATATGAAGTATTTTCATTAAGTCACACAGGTGGAAAAATTTTCAAACCACCTAGCTATAAACATATACTCATTGAATATAAAATTTGAAGGCCAGATAGTATGCTAGCCAATAAAGTGATGAATATTTACCATTAGTAATTTGCATGTTATACTATGACATTTTAGATTTAATAGAAACATTGTATTAGATGGAAAAGATACTTTAAGGAATAGCTCTGAGAAAATTGTAAGCAATAAAATGTTGCATTAACATGTCAAAACGGCTTCTTTCATCATTAGATAATATACACCCTGGCATAAAATTGAAAAATCTGCAAGAAACTCATATTTAAGATGGTTATGATTACTGCCACTAATACTGTCCTGAAACCCATCTTACTGATGAAGTACAAGCAATCTCAGCTTCACGTCCTGGGTAATACAAGTAATTTGGTCACATTTCAGATTATTAAATTGTCAACCCAGAATCACTTAGAAAACCATAATAATAGAGTTTTGGTAAGGCTTAATAATGAAAAGCAAATTTACATTTTTCTATTTCCAACAATAAAGAAATCGACTATATGAAAATTACACTCCAAGATGCAACAGAGTACAAAAAGGGAACATACGTGGGGGCTATTTTTGTCCTCAAAGGTGCTAGAATGATGCTGGGAATAGTGATTCATACTTGTTAAAATTTACTAGCTGGGGCTGGGAATTTAGCTCAGTGGTTCGGCCGCCTGCCTTGAAACTGCAAGGTCCTGAGTTTGATCCCCAGTCCACCCCCACTAAAAAATTACCAGCTGAAGAGACTGGCATTGGTAGTGTCTTTTCCTGAATGACCTCATTTTATCTCTTTGGACGAGAAAGCTGTTGTTCCTGCATTTTGCAGAAAGAATGGAGGTGACTGGGAATGTTCTTTGAATTTGTGTGTAAATGAGAAGCAAAGCCCCTTTCAGTTCTGAGGTTGAGTAGGTGAAGACAAGACCAGGGTACTGGATAAGATGTTAGGAAAAACTGCACATCACCCAAGAGAGAAATAGGAAAGAATTATCTACTTATGTGAAGGAAAGGGACTGTGGAAAATAATTTTAGAAGAGGCAATGGCTCACGTTAACTTAAGGCTTCCTTATTGGCTATGTACTTACACTTTTTTGATTTCTTCTTCAAATATAAGAACTTTCCTTAATGTCTTAGCCAGCCTTTGCTTCCAGAGGAAATGCTTCTCTGTCCTATTTCATTGCCAAAAAATTACTGTGCTTTTCTTGCTCACTCAAATGTGATCATTTGAAGAAGTTTTGCCTGAATTTTTCTTATCAGATAAATGAATAGAAAGGCACCAACTGTGTCCTCAGTAGCAGGAAGATGATGTCAGGGGTGTTTACTGACAGCATTTTCAGTGAGTCAGAAATGATTTTTCTACTTTTGCTGTAACTGATAGTATTGGCAGAAGGTATGATAATTATTGAATTCTAGAGAGTAAATCTCACAGCTTCTTATTAACATTTCTAATATTTTTAGCTCTAGGCAAGATAGCTTCTAGGACACCAGGGACCAGAAATAAATTGAAAATTTGCAGCCAGTTTGTTCCTCTTGGGGATTTCTCAAAGGTGAGTATGTGCTCCCTCCCGTTGGGGCCAATAAAAACTACTTTTTTTTTTAAATTGAGTTTATTTGCACATTTTATGGATACAGTACAGTTACATTCATTGTTGTGATCTTGTACCTCTACATGAAAGGTCTTCATTCTCATTTTTTCCACTTGTCCCTGCCATCCCATCACCCCCTACTCTCCTCCCCATTTACAAACACTTTATTTCCATCTTTGCATTTTCTCACATTTTTTTCTTTTCCCTTATTACCCTTCCCCTACCCATCCCACCTTCCTTACACCTTTAGCCCTTTTCTTCCCATTTCATAATGTCCGTTATCTCATAGGGATTTTATGTACTTTTACAGTTTATTTACATCTGAGAAACTATTCAGTATTTACACATGTGTGACTTATTTATTTCACTAAGGAGTATGGACTCAATATGTATCCATTTTCCTATGAATGAATCTAATTTTGCATTCTTTATTGCTAATATCAAATTTTATAGAAAAACCCATATCTTCTTTATCCAGTCTCCAACTGAAGGGCAAATGGGCTATTTCCAAGTTTTAGCTATTACAAACTGTGCCACTATAAACATGGGTGCACATACATCACTGTGATATGATTCTTTTAGTTCTTTTGGAATGATACCCAGGAAGGGGATGGCTAAGTCAAATGGAACCTCTAGTCCCAGCTCTTTGAGGTATCTCCATATTGATTTCCATAGTGATCACACCAGTCTGCCCTCCCACGAAAAATGGAGAGGGGTACATTTCTCGCCACAACCCCTCCAACATTTGTTATTGTTTGATTTCTTGGTAGCAGCCATTCTTTGTGAGGTGAGGTGGAATCTCAGTGTTGTTTTCATCTGCATCTCTCGAAAGACCAGTGATGTGGAACATTTTTTTCATATATTTAGTTGCTGCTTTTACTTCTTTGCATGAGAAATGTCTGTGCATTTCAGATGCCCAGTTTTGAATTGCATCTTTATATTTGGGGGGGCTCATTGTTTTGAGTTCTTTATATATTCTAGATAATAGTCCTTTGTCTGAGAAGCAGCTGGTAAAAATTTTTTCCCACATTGTAGGTTGTCTCTTAGTTCTGCTTATGGTTTCTTTTGCAGTACAAAGAGTTTTTTTAATAAGATGAGATCCCTGTTGTTGATTCTTTCTGCTAGTTCCCATGCTACTGAGGATTTGTTCATAAAGTCTTTCCCTATGCCATTGTCTTCCAGAGTTCTGCCTAACTTATCTTCCAGAAAATTTAGTGTTTCTGTTTTAATATTTAAATCTTTCATCTATTTGGATTTTAATTTAGGGCATCGTGAAAGATAAGGGTCTGGTTTTAATCTTTGGCAGGCTGAAATCCAGTTTTTCCAACACCATTTACTAAAGAGACTATCTTTCCTCCACTGAGGATGGTCAGCTCCTTTGTCAAAGATGACGTAGCTGAGTAGATCTGGATTTGTTTTTGTGTCTTTCAATCTTTTCCATTGATCCTCAGATCTGTTTATTTGCCATTATCATGCTGTTTCTATCACAGTAGCTTTGTAGTATAGTTTCATATTGGAAATTCTTGTAGCCAGTCCCATGTGTCTGTTGCCGAGGATGGCTGCTGTTATTTTGGGTCTCTTATGGTTCCAAATGAATTTTTGGATTCTTTTTTCTAGTTCTGTGAAATATAGTGTTGGAATTTCAATTGGCATTGCATTGAATCTGTATAGCAGTTTTGGTAGTATGGCCATTTTCACTATGTTGATTCTTCCAACCCAGGAGCAGGGGAGATCTTTCCATTTTCTTATATCCTCTTTGATCTCTCTTTTGAGAGTGCTGTAGTTTTTAGTGTAAAGGTCTTTTTCTTCTTTTGTCAGATTGATTCTTAGATACTTCATTTTTTTGGATACTATTGTGAAAGGAATTATTTTCCTAATTTCTCTCTCAGTGAGTCTGTTATTTGTGTACAAGAAGTCTGTTGCTTTTGGGTGATCACCTTGTATCCAGCTACTCTACTAAAAGTGTCAATTAAGTCTAGAAGTCTTTTGGTGGATTTTTTTGGGTCTTCAATGTAGAGTATCGTATCATCAGCAAATAATGACAATTTAACTTCTTCCTTTCCTATCTTTATTGCTTTAATTTCTTTCTCTTGTCTAATTGCTGTGGCTAATGTTTCCAGAACTATAGCAAACAGGAGTGATGATAGTGTGCATCCTTGTTTTCAGTTTTTGACCATTTAATATGATGTTGGCTGTTGATTTTTCATAGATAGCCTTTATTAAGTTGATATATAGACCATCTATTCCAATTTTTTGCTGGGTTTTCATTATGAATGGGTGTTGAATTTTGTCAAATGCTTTTTCGGCATCTATTGAGAGGATCATATGGTTTTTGTCCTTGACTTTGTTAATATAGTGTATTACATTTGTTGACCTATGTATGTTGAACCATCCTTGCATGCCTGCAATAAATCCATCTTGGTCAGGATGTATGACATTCTTGATGATCCTCTGTATTCTGTTTGCTAGTATCTTATTAAGGATATTTGTATCTATATTCATTAAGGAGATTGGCCTGTAGTTCTGTTTTTTACTTGCATCTTTCCTTGGTTTGAGAATTAAAGTGATACTTGCTTCCAGGAATGAATTTGGAAGTATTGCCTCCCTTTCAATTTCATTGAAAAATTTTAAGAGAAATGGCTGTTGTTCCTCTCTAAATGTCTTGTACAATTCAGCAGTGAATCCATCAGGGCCTGGGCTTTTCTTTGTTGGTAAATTTTTAATTATATTTTCAATTTCACTGACTGTAATCAGGGTGTTTAAAATGTTTTTATCTTTTTGTTTAACTTTCATAATTCATAAGTATCTAAAAATCTGTCCATTTCTTCTGTGTTTTTTAATTTGTTAGAGTATAGGCTCTCAAAGTAGGTATTAATGAGCCTCTGGATTTCTGTTGGATCTATTCTGACTCTGCCTTTTTCATTCCTGATTGCATGGACCTGATCCTTTTCTTTCCCTTTTTTGATAAGATTTGCTAAGGGTTTATCAATTTTATTTATTCTTTCAAAAAACCAACTCTTTGTTACATTTATTTTTTGTTTCATTTTCTTAGTTTCCATTGCATTGATTTCTGCTCTAATCTTTATAATTTTCTCTCTTGTTCAAGCTTTGGGTTTTTCTTGCTTTTTGTTTTCTAGGAGTCTAAGATTCATCATAAGGTTGTTTATTTGAACTCACTCTGTTTTCCTAGTGTGGGCATTCAGTTGCATGAATTTTTCATGTTGAACTGCTCTCATTTTGTCTGTTGTAAAGGCATTTTCATTTATGTGTAAAAACTGTCTAATTTCTTCTGTGATCCATTGATTGTTCCGGAGAGTGTTGTTCGATTTCCATGTGTTTGTGAAGTTTCTACAGTGTCTTATGATATTGATCTCCAGCTTGATTGCACTATGATCTGATAATATACAGGGTATAACTTTGATTCTTTTGCATTTATTCAGACCTGTTCTGTTAGCTAGTATGTGGTCTATCTTGAAGAATGCCCATGTGCAGTTGAAAAGAATGTATATTCTGATTTTCTAGGGTGGAACACTCTATAGACGTCTATTAAGTCCATGCATTCAAAAGCTTGGTTCATTTCTAGTATTTCATTGTTGATCTTCTGCCTAGATTATCTGTCTATTTGTGAGAGTTGGGTATTTAAATCCTCCACTACAATTGTATTAGTGCTCATTTGGTTTTTCATGTTACTTAATATTTGTTTTATATAGTTGGGGTGTTAATATTTGGTGCACATATGTTTATGATTGTCATCTCTTCCTCTTCAATTGTTCCCTTTACAAAAATGTAGTGGCCTTCTTTGTCTCTCTTAATGAGTTTTGGTTTGAAATTTACTTTGTCTGTGAATAAGATTGCTACCGCTGCTTTTTTCTGGGCTCCTGTCTCATGGAGAATTGTTTTCCATCTTTTCACTTTGAGTCCAAGGGCTTCTTTTTGCACTAGGTGTGTTTCTTGTATACAAACATATTGTTGGGTTTTGCTTCTTAATCCATTCTGCCAGTCTTTTCCTCTTGATTAGTCAATTGAGGCAATTAGTA